TACTCATTACTGAGTCTTTTTTTGAGTGAGTGAAAAAGGCCTTGGTCTTATCAGAACAAAAATAATAAGGCCCTCTGTAGCAGCCCAGACTGGTCTAAAGCCGGGTACACACCAAAAGCGTTTGGAGCAGCCAAAGCAGCCAGTTTACATGCAAAGTCTATGGTGGCCGCGCATCTAGGAGCAGCGCAGAGTGTTACGGCACGTTTTGGCAGTTCAGAGCAGCGCGCAAGGTAGCAGTAGGATGTGGCAGAGTATTTTCCGTACATGCGGCAAGGTCCAAAGCAGCGGCTGCTAACGTTCAACTAATTGAACTTCGGCTGCTCACCGCACAGCAGTAAACAGTTGGGGGAGAATATGTATTTCACATGATGGTATCCTGAACCCGGCACAGACGGACAGGAGCCTTTAGCTGAAATCGACCATCTGCAGTTGATGTTCTGGCTGGAGTTATCAGCACCGATGTGGTGAGGTAGCAGCTTGCTGAGCTCAGGACAAAAAAAATTCCCTCAGCTCACTGGAGCGGTGAAACTAAACCACCTCTAAATTATCTGGTGAATTGATTATCTGCTGTGTGCAAGTTCGCTTGCTCTTTAGCAAATAAAACAAAGCCATTTTATTTATTTTATCTTTATTTCACCTGTCATTAAAGACAGTCTTGTCCCGGTCTGAGAAAAAAAAGGTCCATCAGAGCACCTCTAAATTATCTGATGAATTAATTATTTGCAGTGTGCAAGTTTGCTTGCTCTTTAGTAAATGAAGCAAAGCTATTTTATTTATTTTATCTTTATTTCAAATGTCAACAGACCAGAAAATGAACAAAGACACTCCTCCCATTGCGCGTCTTCAGATGCGTTCAGTGTGAACGGTCATCTGTTGACAAGCAGCCAAACGCATGCAGCTGGAGCATCTTGGCTGCTCCAAACACATTTGGTGGGAACCCGGCTTAAGAGAAGACTTTATAATAATAATAATGGTGAATCAACCTCTTAAAGTACATCTGACCTCCTGATCTCACCCTGTGAGGCACCTTTACATCAGACATTAAAAACATAAAACTAAACCTTATTTATATTACAGACAGAATGGAACACTTGATAAGACACACACTCTCATTCTCTGTTTAAACCATATGGCTTCAATGATCAGAAAGTTTAAAATACAAGACTGGATCTTGAATTCAGGCAATGAGGCACAAGGTTCCTTCAGGGGTTTTGGATTTTTAGATATGGTTTTAAACTTTTGATCAGCTGATGAACAGCCTATTTCAGTTGTTTGCAATAAAATGCTGACTCAGATGTTTGTTTTTGTCTCACTCACATTTCTTGTTTTTGCATTTTGAAGCTCTACTTAAAACATTCCTTATGATCAAACAGTGCAAAATGTCTTGCCATTTTCAACTGGTCTTAAAGTTATGAGCAGGAGTGTAACACAGTATCTACTGATTAGGGGTTCAGCTTAGAGAAAAAAATCTTTAGGAGGGACTCATCTCCTACAAAAACTGCTATAATAAGCCATATTTATTCACAAGAGGAAAGTAACAATGACAACAGCATCTCTCTCATACTGACATTTAAAACTCCACGTGTCACTGATAGTGACTTATATGCTCTGAGAAATAATGTTATTAAAAAAAAACATTGGACTTTTCAGGATAAATGTAAGAAATGAAACTACTTCCTCACAGAAACAAGATCATACAAGACCAGCAGTAACCTGCAGTACTAACCTTATCAACTGATTCAGATGTGCTACAACTGAACCAGAGTATCAGGATCGTATTAATTGGCTGACATGGCTGCATTTTACTGTGGGTACAATGAAAATGAAGCTGCTCCTCTGCCTGTTCACAGATGGCCATGACCTTCAGACTGACTCCAACCACAACATTTCCAGGTTTGAGGGATGAGAGAAGAAGCCATCTTTAGAGAGACAACCTGTTGTTAAACAGGGTGGAGACATCCATGTCCAATTGTCCCACTCTTACTATGCTGTTATTTCAAGTATCCCTCAGCGCTCTATGAACAAAAAGCAACAATTTCAGCACTATTTTTTACAATATCTGTACTTACTCAGAATGTATGGAGACTTTGACCACTGGAAGCAGCCTCTCAATAGCCTTATCATCAGTAGAATATTCCTTTGGGTCAAAATGATCCAGAACTTTTCCTGATGATATTAAGATGAAGGCCAGAGCTGACCAATGAGAAGGAGACAGTTTATCTGTGGAGAGACGTCCTGACCTCAGAGACTGTTGGATGTCCTCCACTAGAGAAGCATCATTCAGTTCATTCAGACAGTGGAACAGATTGATGCTTTTCTCTGCAGACTGATTCTCACTGATCTTCATCTTGATGTACTGGACTGTTTCCTGATTGGTCTGTGAGCTACTTCCTGTCTGTGTCTGCAGGCCTCGTAGGAGAGTCTGATTGGTTTGCAGAGAAAGACCCAGGAGGAACCGGAGGAACAAGTCCAGGTGTCCATTTGGACTCTTTAAGGCCTTGTCTATAGCACTCTGATGAACATGATTTAGTGTTATCTTCTGAAAAAGTTTCATCATCTTGAATTTGATTTGATCATCTCCCATCAGGTTGAGTCCATGTTTGATGAAGGTCAGGTGGACATGAAGAGCAGCCAGAAACTCCTGAACACTCAGATGGATGAAGAAGAACACCTGGTTCTGGTACAGTCCTCTCTCCTCTTTAAATATCTGGGTGAACACTCCTGAGTACACTGAGGCTGCTGTCATATCGATGCCACACTTTGTCAGGTCTGATTTATAGAAGATCAGGTTTCCTTTCTTCAGCTGATCAAAAGCCAGTTTTCCCAGAGACTCAATCATCATTCTGCTCTCTGGACTCCAGTGTGGATCCGTCTCAGCTCCTCCATCATACTTGACCTTCTTGACTTTGGTGTGAACCAGCAGGAAGTGGATGTACATCTCAGTCAGGGTGTTGGGCAGCTCTCCTCCCTCTCTGCTCTTCAACACATGGTCCRGAACTGTAGCAGTGATCCAGCAGAAGACTGGGATGTGGCACATGATGTGGAGGCTTCGTGAGGTCTCGATGTGGAAGATGATCCTGCTGGCCTTCTCCTCATCGCTGAACTTCTTCCTGAAGTACTCCACCTTCTGAGGGTCAGTGAAGCCTCTGACCTCTGTCACCATGTGGACACAGTCAGCAGGGATCTGATTGGCTGCTGCAGGTCTTGTGGTTATCCAGAGGCGAGCAGAGGGAAGCAGGTTCCCCCTGATGAGGTTTGTCAGCAGAACATCCACTGAGGTGGACTCTGTGACATCAGTCAGGACCTGGTTCCTGTGGAAGTCCAGAGGAAGTCGACTCTCATCCAGACCATCAAAGATGAAGAGCAGCTGGAAGTCTTCAAAGCTGCACATTTCTTTGGTTTCAGAAAAGAAGTGATGAAGAAGTTCCACCAAGCTGAACTTTGTCTCTTTCAGCACATTCAGCTGTTTGAAGGTGAATGGAAACAGGAAGTGGATGTCCTGGTTGGTTCTGTCTTCAGCCCAGTCCAGAGTGAACTTCTGTGTTAAGACTGTTTTCCCAATGCCAGCCACTCCCTTTGTCAGGACTGTTCTGATTGGTTGATGTCTTCCAGGTGGTAGTTTAAAGATGTCTTCTTGTCTGATGGTTGTTTCTGGTTTGTGTTGTTTCCTGGATGTTGTTTCAATCTGTCTGACCTCATGTTGATCATTGAGCTCTGTAGTCCCTCCCTCTGTGATGTAGAGCTCTGTGTAGATCTGATTCAGAAGGGTTGGGTTTCCTGCTTTAGAGATGCCCTCAAACACACACTGGGACCTCTGCTTCAGATGACATTTAAGGTTAGAAACTGCAGCTTGTCCTGAATGAAGACAAAGAAATGAGAAAAGTCACAAAGTTATTTCTCTGTATCTGTGATAGGTGTTTTTCCTAATCATATACAAAAACAGAGGAGCAAATGAGACAATCAAACCAGGTTTAGAATCAAAGTGAGGAGAACGCTGGACAGGAAGTCTCTCGTACACCCAAATCCACCGTTCTGAGAGACCCCCTGTAGTTCAACCTCTTTTATTTAGTTTTCACRCCCCTAGTTACATTTGGGTCATGAGACTGCCTAAGGGAGGGGGGGAAAAATGCAGACCTCATGACAGAACATTATTTGATACAAGACAATTAATAATCATGCTAGCTAAACACTTTCGCTTCTGCTGTCCCCGGAGCAGATGGATGCTTCAAGAGGACAAGCATCAGTTCAGAGTTCAGCTTCCTCTCCGATTACTGCAACTCAGCAAATCTGCTCACAGATGGAAATATGTGACATTATCAAAACACCAAAATTAAGCAATGATTAAACTCTTAAAATAAGGAAGTTGACCCAAGCTCTCACTGCCAAGTATTTTGAATGATGAAAACAACCACCACCTCAACTTTGTTCTAACACTCTGTTACTGATTTTCTCCTTCATGTCTCCATCAGGTCAGATGTTTGTATAAATCCTCTTACTCCTCAGCAGATGCTCAGCCAGCTCCTCCTGCTTCATCCTCCTCAGGAAGTAAACTGTGATCTTCATCAAAGCCTCTCTGCTCCTCTTCCTCTGCTCTTCATCCTCACCCTCCAAATTCTCCTCATCCTCCCTCTGACTCTCTAAGCATTCTGGGTAATCTGGACTCAGAACCTTCTGGATCTTCGTCAGCTCCTTCTTCACAAAAGAGACAACGTTGTCCTCCAGCAGCTGGAACAGAAGAATAACTGAATGAGACATCAGGTCCATGTTGGACACACAGTCCACTGGTCTACATGTTGGATAGACAGTCCACTGGTCTACTTGTTGGACAGACAGACAGTCCACTAGTCTACATGTAGGACAGACCGTCTACTGGTCTACATGTAGGACAGACAGTCCACTAGTCTACAAGTTGGACAGACAGATAGTCCACTGGCCTACATGTAGGACAGAGAGATAGTACACTGGTTTTAAATGTTGGACAGACAGACATAAAGACTGTCCACTGGTCTATATGTTGGACAGACAGTCTATTGGTCTACATGTTGGACAGACAGTCCATTGCTCTACATGTTGGACAGACAGTCCATTGGTTTACATTTTGGACAGAAAGGCAGTCCACTTCTCTACATGTAGGACACAGAGATAGTCCACTGGTCTACATATTGGACAGAATGTTCGCTAGTCTACATGTAAGACAGGCAGTCCACTGGTCAATATGTAGGACAGAGAGAGAGTCCAATGGTCTACATGTTGGACAGAGAGTCCA